GGTCACTTCAATATCTCTTTAATAAAAATGTTTGGACAAGCATTAACTGAAATGTTTACAATTGAAAATGTCCCTGTGGGTTCGGGGATAGAATTGGCCCACTCCGCCCTGGAGATCGTAAAAGGCGATCAATGGGCACTAAAGGTAACGAGTTTAACCGCCTTTAGTACTTACCTACCCACTTTTGTTTCCAAGTCCCACACTCACCTCCCCTACTCTCCTATTCTTTATTCCAGGTGCCTTTACCCACACGTTCCTCATAGATAATATAAATATAAATAACATATAATAATAAAATAACAATAAAAATATAAAAAAAGGTCTCGGTCTGCTGGCAGTAGCAGTAACTGGTACGACTTAGCATATGAAAATGAAACAACTCCTGGAATCGATATAGCCCCACGCTACGTTTTGGACAATTCTAATGGAATCGGTAGTACAATTATTGTGAACAGGGACACTAGAAACACCCCAAAGAGTTGCCAGCAACGAGAGGATGGTGATTCCTTGGTTCTTGCTCGTCAAAGTAGTGAACGGTGGCGATTTTGCGAGGGTAAATCCGTTCCAAATATCCCATACAATCTATGACTTAGCCGTAAAGACAATTAAAAAAGTAATAGATTGGCTTCTGATGGAAGCAATAAGCAAGTAATGCGGATAATGGAAATTAAAAGATTCTGCGAATTCGAAGTAGAGGTGCAACCACATGATGATACGTTAATAATAGCAAAAGTGTTGTATACTAGAGGGATTTCTTGAATTGTACAGTGAATGAAACTGGAGAAGGCAAAATGTAGGTAATAGATGTTAAGAGGATATCCGTTAAAAGAGAAGGACGATATATTGAAACCCCTTGCCAGATTCTACGAGTAACATTTACCCTGAGGTATTTAAAATTAGCGTTGTGGTACCGTTATTTAAAAAAGGTGAAATTTGCAACTTAAACAACTACAGACCGATTACCATTATTCCTATATTTTCAAAAATCTTCGAAATTATTGTAAATGATAGGCTGTATAATTACTTTAACATTCATACACTATTAAGTCCCGCTCAATATGGTTTCCGTAAAAGCTGCTCTACCACTCAAGCAGTTTCCAAAATCATATCTATTATAATTAATTCTTTTGAAAAGGGTGAACAAGCATCTTTAATATTATGCAATTTGTCCAAAGTTTTTGACTGTGTCTCTTTCAATATTTTACTTCATGAACTGCAAAACTCAGACTTGGTGGGTATGAAAGTTAACACCGAGAACACCAAGGCAATTCACCTCTGTCAACGGATACTTGAACATGAATACCCGAAATTATATATGAATGGTTCAAGAATCCCCATATCAGAAAGCATAAAAATAATAGGGGTGACGTTTTGACAATCGGTTCTATTTTAGGATCACTGCACTCTTCAGTTGGCAAGACTTCTCCCCAGCACAGAGGAGAGATTCGACTCTGCTCTCAATTAACCTGTTAACTTCTAACAGATAGTGGGTTAAACCAAATACCCCACCAAACTGAACTGCAACATTTTCAATAATTAAAATGGACTTTGGGCAAGCATCCAACAAAAACACAATTGAATTAAAACTGAAGTCGTTAGAATGAAACACACGGAAATTAAGTGAAAATTACAAAAGTGCGATTTAATTCTAACACACACGAGGAAAATGATACAAAAACAAACAACAAACACACGTTGAAAACACATTCATGGAGGCGCCGACAACCTCTTTTCTTTGAAGCACCTTATTAACGAGCTCCTAGCGAGTTTATTAGATGGTCAAAAAGATAATCCTCCAGCACGAATAAACGTGAAACGTAGAATAATAATTAGCCACCAACTCGGTTTCCGGCTACGCAAACGGAACTTCCTCTATCTTCAAACTTCAAAAAAACGTAATACTGCCAAAGAGTAATTATGGTTCTCTTTGATACTGCTCTGACTCTAGGCGTAAAGCTGATTTAAATTTCAATAACTTAGTTCTGCTCACAAATTTGTATAAAGCGAATTAAATCTTCAATGATACGCAGTTCTTTGTAAACTCTGCGTACAGCGAATTTTACAACTTCAAATAAACGTAGTTGCGCTCTGAACCTGGCTTAAAGCTGATTTCAATTGTTAACAAGACGTAACTGCATAAACTGTGCGTACAGCGAATTTTAAATTGACCGCACTTGGGCCCTGAACTAATACTGCGTAAACCGTTAAACGCGATTTAAACTACATACGGAACGTACTTCCGTGCTGAACTTGGCCAAAAGCTCTCCTCAATTTACGTTAAAAGACCAAAATAATAGAGGCGAATAATTTTACTAAACGTATCAGACATAGGAAAAATAAAAATTCATCTTTTAACTACACAGCAAGGCGATAAATCACATCCACCTGTCAATTAAATTAAGCATTTACAATTGATAACAGACAAAAGCAAACAAAACTCCGGAAATTCTACGTTAAATAAAAATAAAATGTAAACAAAAACAACCTTGACCGCTTTCTCGTATGACAATAATTTCCGTGTCGTCACATAGTCTAACGGCAAATAATAAAATTTAATTATGAAAGTTAATTGCATAAGAAGGAGACCGCCCTTGTCCATTTTAATTATGATTTCCAAAATCTCATCCTGCCGGACGAAATAAACACAGCAATTGCTTCGTACTGCCAGCAGTAGATTATGAGGCTTACCATAAGTTCCGGTTTGACCGGGATTGTCCCTGTTTCACATCTATGTCCCGCCGGCACGGCGTCCCGCCCGGTTTGCCATTTCGTCCCGGTTGTTCTGCGTTTGATTTTGAATAATGCGCTAATAAGATCTCAGTTAACAGTGTTGCAAAGAACGTGAAATGCCGAAAAGCCAGGTCCGTAGCCAGGGGGTGGCCAAGTGGTGTTCAGCTCCACCTACAGCATGGTCCGGTCCCATCTATATTAATTTTTTGTCTAGGCGAAGATAGTCTAAGGATGGCAATGACACACATCAAAGGTTGTCCAATTTGGTATTTCTAGCCTTTGAAAAAGAAAGACCAGGAATAAGTTAATCTACAGACGGTACTCAGTAGTCAATGATTTCTTCTTAATCACCACATAGAAAACTGTTCGCTACCTCTGCTACTTTATCCTGGCTAGGGGCCTGAAAACAATACGCAGTTACGGGGGTTGCGTTGCAGTCATGGGATTCAGATAAGTAGCTGATAGGGGCTATATTTTCCTCGGAACCCCTGAATGACCGTGTTACAGGTAGCGATTTTTATGAAAAAATTAAGAAACTAAATAATTTGTTAAGAAAAATACACTCCAGCGCAAAGTACGATTGGTATGAGAAATGAGTGTAAACAGCTGTTTGAGTAAAACATTTTTTTTACCTACAATGTATACTGTCTTGCTAAAACGGCGATTTTTAATTAATCAAGGCATAAACTTATTATGATATTACACACATTGTTTTGCTCTTGCAAGATAGAATGCAGGAAGAGTTGTCTGCATTGCCCATCAGCATGCACTGGAACGCATTGCGATCACCAGTCACCTTCAGACTGTGAAGTTCCTAACGCTCCAGATAAAAATGAAATACTATTTTCTTCGCAGGAATTATTAAATTGGTCATACTGTAGGTATACTATGAGGTTCAGTATACATATGTAAAATAAATCAAAATTATTTATAATTGTGTATATATTTAAAGCTCTAAGAATCAGAACAGGAATAAAGTTAATTTCTCCATAACTCTATGGACATTTATTGCGCACACTGAAATGTATGATTTCAGGTAGTGTAATAAAAACACATCAAAGAAATTTATCACTAGGATTACGCTTTCCATGATATTAGTATCATTATCTTACGAGGTTTTCAGTCAGTTCCCACCCAAATCATTTTGGGCGAACCTCAGCGTAAGCACTATTTGAAAAAGCGAAAAATTTGTAGCTCAAAATGAACCCAATGTATCGGGTTCTCAGTTCAATGTACAAACACTGGTTTCTTTTGCACCCTCACCGTTTTTCGTAAAATCGTTTGAATAAATCTCCCAACCACTAATGGTCTAGAGATTTATTTAAGTACAAAAGTTGTTTCCTTTGTATATCTGCGTTTTTTTGGAAAATTCGGTTCTAAAGGTTCACGAGAGAACTGAAAATACATACTTCAAATAAATTCTAAACTACTCGTGTTTTCATATCCTCTTCTACTTCAATCTACTATAATTAATTTCCCATTGTATATCCAATTTCGAAAACTCAATCACTGCCAACTAGCTTTACTTGTTTGTTTATATGAACCTCGCATATTATGCAATAATGAAGTTATTCTGGAAATTTTTAGTACTGCGGGGCACAGCATTACAGTAGACGTTTAGGAAGGTACATTACGAAAATCTTGTTATGCACGCGTAAAGTTGACGGTGATCCTTTCCAAGCGGATTTTCTGCAAACGGCAGAGTTACAATGGGTTTTGATACATTGGGGTACATTGAATTCTGAAATTCGTACATTAATACTTTGAGCATTTTTTATTAAAAATTGCATGATTATTTGGAACCGGAACTTCATAAATAGACGACTAACCATTTTAATCTCTATTACAATAGGAAATGAGCTCCGTGGTGTAATTGTCGTTGCCTAGCTTCGGTGTTAGAGCGCCTTCAGATTAGAAATGTTAGGCAGCGAAGGGGAAATGAGAGAAAAAGAAAATTGAAATATAACTAATAAAATACTTTTCAGTTATTATAGGCTTTGTTATAATTGCAAACGACAAACAAAACTAGCAATAACGGTGCACTTTCAGGACATTGATGTTGTTTAAAACGTCCTACCAAACTTGGACATGGCTTTTTTGAAATAGGAAAAGGAAACTGTTGCATTATTGATGACTCCACACTTGTTCTTATCGTTATACGCTATGAACAGGTAGAAATTATAAATGGATTTTAATATTCATCAACACTCCTTTAACTCCCGCGTTAAGGCAGTTTTACCGCGCATGACTACAGGTAGGTATTATTCACTACCTGCTTAGTTTAGTAGAGAGGTAAAATATTTACCTGTGTATGTATCATCATATGCGAAGTAAAACGTGAAATATAATACCGTTTTGTGATGTGTTTTAAACAATAGTGCTAAAAATGTTGAATATTTTGGTTTATTAGGTGGGACTCGGTCAAGTATGTTTGAATTTGTTTGCCTTTCTAGTAATTAATTGCCTTTTACGCGACCTTTATTTATTTTGTTATTATTGTGATCGCCACCGTGGCTTTGGTAGTTTCTTTATATACGTGTTGCTGCCGTAAAAATGAGCACCTACATAATTTTTTGACATACCTACCTATCAGTAATGCCAATTTGTATTTATTTACTCAAAAAGGTCGCGCATTATTAACTTAGGGACTGAACCGTTAATTTAAATAGTACCCTACTTTATTAATATCATACTTAATCCTAAATTGTTCATCGCAACTGTTCATTTGTATGCGTAACCAATAGTTCGTCCATAAAAGTACAAGTACCGATAATACGTGAAATACATGTTCGAATTGTTAACATTCTCTAAATTCCATTATGGTTAAAGGTGTGGCGATGGGAGAATCAAAAATACGAGTTTCACATTTATTTCTGTAAAATTCGTCTTAATTAATTGCTTTAATAGATAGTTAGACTTGATTTGATTCCCTCCAACGCCTCGGGCATATTCTTAAGAAACATTGTAAAAATTTTCTTAAAAACCAACTTCTGTTGACGTTATCAACTTTTGATAGAACGGATTTAGTCATATAGGGTAATCCATGTGTTATCAGAAACATTGATAATGTTATCAAAACCTCTTATATAGTACAATATACCATAAAAGTAATGTACCTATTTTAATCTACGAGGCCTTTTTGCTTGTTCAGATAGAAAGAAAATTTATTTGTCATTACCATGGCATACCATTCCAATGGCTATTCTCCACAAGATGAAAGAGAAATTGATAGAGATGACAGAGGTACCGAAGGAAGTGATAAGCCCACGTACCACATGGAACATTTGGCGACTTTTACTGTTTCCAAAGACAACGGAATAGTTTATCCGGCAGATGGAATGAGAAGACTTTTGCAACTGGAACAATCCAATGGCATTTGGTCGCAAAAGATGCAGCTTTGTCTGGATCGCTCCTGGGTATTAATAATGGATTTTGAATCTGGGGTAAATAAATCTCACTTTTTTGCTTAGTATTAGATTTATATTTTCTCTCGTTACATATAGTAGGGTTGAATCAATCCAAATTCGGGTACAACTTTTTCACATTCAACTCCAAAAGGGGATATTTCGAGGGATATTTCTGTTATGAAATAAACCTCTTTTCATTTTTCTACAAAATTTATGTCACTAGCTACTATTTGGCGATAAATAAATTTTGCAATGTGGGAACTGAGAACACTTGATTAGGTATGCACAAAATTCTGCTATGAAATGAAGCGCTGTTCGCGAACAGCTATGTCCAACTTCTATATCATTAGTTGCATTGCTTCGATTCGCAAACCGTCAATGTGTTCCATGAAACGTTAACTATTACGCCTGTGTGACCGATTCGTTAGACTTAGTGTCTTTAATCCAATTATGTGATTTTACTACCACCGTATGGTCGTTACAAAACTGAAATGCTGAATACAGTTCAATAAATTGATACTTAATCATAAATAATTCGAAATCGCATTTGTTTGATCATTATTTTATTGGGCTCAAGCTTTTCAATTAATCAAATTTACTTGTAATAAAAATTGACCACTTTGTTCTATTTTAAGTTAATAGCAACAAAATTAAGTATGGAAGCAATCGGTAAATGATGAATAGCCTAAACGTGACTCGAGACGTGACTATTTTGTTTATGATATTTTTTTCACTAGTGGCTCATGCCGTTTAGTTGATCCCAATTAAATTGTAAACACGAATATCTCAAGAACGAAATATTGGAAGTGGTAGCTCACAAAGAGGGAGGGAATACATCCGGCGTAATTTCGCCAAATAATGGAGACATTGAGGTAATCCTTTTATATCTCGACCGCACTGTATATAAGATGCAGCGCCAAATATTCACGGCTTGACTATGGAAGAAATGGCGTAAATTAACAATGAAGTTTAGTTTTTCAACATTAATGCACTCGCTTCACCCGCAATACCCCTAAAATGTTCTGTTTGCTTTCAAAATGTGTCTCCTTAGATCTTTTTCAATTTCTCAAACAAGTAATAGTCACTTAGGGCCATATCTCTACATAAGGCAACTAATCTGTGATTAAAAAATATTATTATTATTATTATAAACGGGAGGTGTTCGGTTTGTTCAAAACCGCAATCACGAATTGCAGCTTGCCCAATTTTCATCATTTCATTCATGCAGCAAACTTACGCGTCTGTCCAATTTCCCACGTCTTTTTTCCAGAATATTTTGCCTTAATTTGTGCAGTGTTTAATAATTGACGGCTATGCCGCGTTCTTTAAAGTTAATAAGAAGGATTTCCTCACAAGGTCGTAGCCAGCACCTTTCTTATCGACTGACAAACCTTGAACTTTATCGATGATGCTTCTCCTTTTCTTTTCCATTACACCGACTCCGTTCTGGATAGTGAACCATAGTACAGGACCTTAGTCTCATCCCCGGCTACAATTGTCTTTAACACATCAACCTGAATTTTATCGGCGGGACCTCCTGTTCTTCCCCATATCCCCGGTTATAATGGGATTTATCACGTTAACAAGGTTTTCTCCATAGAGCTCCAAAAAGGATCGAGCTCATACCGAGAGTTGCACTAATTTTCTTCATCTCCAAATGGTCGTGGAACGGCGACCGGTTGTGTTGTGTCAGAAAACCCGTGCTTCTCTGCTATTACGCTTAAACGTGGATCGCCTGGCACGAGGTCTTCAACAAGGGCTATGTTTTGGACAGTCGTCACACCCGCCATTCTTTCTGTTTTGCAGTCATTTTCCAAGGATTCCCGTCTCATTCGCAACCGTTTGTTCAATCTCTCATTACACAATAAAACGGCGAATTTTCCCCATAGGAGTACAGCTGTGTACTCCATTTTTGTGATTTTTGACATGGTGTTAAACGAGTGACAATTGTAAGAAAACTAATTGCGATAAAGTTCATGATTTGTTTATCTAAGGTAATTAAATCTAATTAAGATTTGAACTGTCGTGTTATGAAAGTTTTGGCTGGTTGCGATCTCTGGATTTATGTCATCCTAAGTTTTACGCGGTCTTCTACCAGTGTACTTTTACGACGGAAGTGTTGACCTGGCGTACATTGGAGAATTTTGGACACCCAGAGGGAGAGGGGTGAAATCACATTATCAAGTAATTTCTGTTACACGTAAGTGAGTTTTTACTTCATACGAGTACGTGGTACTCACTGACCGAGCCAAATTATCTTTTGGCGCATCAAAGACGAAACGGAGCGATTTTTGAATTGTTAAAAGAACATTTTCTAAGAACGCTTAATTTTGGTTTCGAAGGAGACATTGTTCCCGATTAAATTTCTTCATTAATCTTTACACCCCTTAGCGCTAGGGGTGGATGCAGTCCCTGAAATCTTAAATTGCGTAATGTTGTAAGCATTATTGACAAGGCCTTCCTGACCTGAATATTGAACAGTTTTTGATATTTTGGTCGCACTCTGGTTATTGTAACACAAATTGTTTAAACCATCTTAAGAACTAAGTCTTTGCTGAGGACAAAATGAAGGTTAAAAAAATCAAGTTAACTCCTGTTAGTGACAGATCAATGCATCTAATGGAGTCGGAGTCGTTAAACTTTTACTAGCTTATTGATCCTCCTGATAGGATAAAGAAGTTAGGGAGTTTTATCGCAAAAAATGCCCCTCTCGAATGTAAAATTCACATATCCGAGCCTTTTTCAAAAATTCACGTTATACTGTTGAAAAATTTGGAGTAAAAACGCACAACGTGCGAGACTTTACTGGACACCGACGCGTAGCGCCGCCATTATAAGTAAAACCAACAAGGCTAATTGTGAAAAATAGCACGAAATCCGATAATTCGCTTCAGAATCTCGACCCGTTCGCAGTACAGTTTGAATTGTGGACGTATTTCTATTTTTAGTGAATTTTCCAAAAGGAAAATGAACGATATGGCCCGTCTGTACCACTACGAGTCCTCCCAGTTTAAGCTGTTTCGTTGTGGCTTCTTATATGGTGTGACACAGCCTCGAGAACGACAAAAGATTTTTTGGATTAGTCACTTCCGTCCCGAGTTATTACTGATTCTTTCAATGTCTTTTTTTTTTAACAATTTAGATATTATCTACTTTCATTGATACAAATGAATGTCCGGCGTCATTAGTTGGTAACCTAATCTCAAACAGGTTTTTCATTCCACTATCCTCACATTAAGAAAACATTTGAAATGTGTTTCTGGAAAGGAAATTAATTATATATATGATGGCATTACGTAAAGTACCACTTATTTTCATTGATTCGCCAAAATTTTACTTCACATTGTTTTCACTTTACCTTTCACGGTGTTTGATATAATGGTTTTTTATTTTGAATTCAATATCTTCCCTTTCTCACTTTTGCTGCATTTCATATGACTTTCTTCACTCTTGATATCCTACAATGCGCACATTGCCATCTCTGTTTGAATGCTTGTGCAGTTCCTTGATCTAAGTTCCATACTGTACATTTTTATGAGACTGGCCAAAAAGATTGCTGCATGTGGAATTTTGAAATTTTCTTTAAAGTTAAGTTAAGTTATATTTGTCATGAATTTTTCTAATGAGAACACAATAGTTCAATTAACTGATTACATTTTGATATAGACGCGAGATGAGGCACCAAGGACTCATCCAAAAAGATTCTAAAATCAAGCTTACGAAATAGTATTGAAAGTAAATAATTTGTATTGTATTCACAAGCTGTAAAAGGATGCGAATATTATTTGAAAAATTAACAATAAGCAGTCGTGTACGAGTATAATTATCGTAGTGTAAAGTAAAAACTATGATGTTAATTACAAATGCGGATATTTGCATAAGGTGTGTGAAGAATGTATCTATTTGTATTGAGATTATTGTTTTTCATGTTCCTGATATCACCTTCACGAAACTATACATATAGCTAGTAATTAATTACTACTTGCAAACAAATCCTCTTTACTTGTATGATGTTTACTCAATTGATTAACTTATTAGGAATACGTTGTTGCTGCTTAATTACCTACGTACAGTACACATGTACTACACATACCTACTAGATCAAGTCCGCCTGGGAATAACTATTATAGGTATATAAAAACGTGCTTGCTGAGAACAGAATTATTTTACGTACCAGGTGCCAACAGTCAAAGTATGAAAGGCAGAAAAGGCTCTCTGTCCATTCTGCATTAGAAAAATGTAATTGACTAGGTTGTACATAGAGTAGATACATATCGACACGTACTTGAAATAGAATAAATTTGGCACAGAAAACGAACGATTTATTTAATTACCCATCAAAATGTGGTTTTACAACATACTCTTAACGGTATCATTATTTCGGTTGTTAGATAATAAAATATTTTAGTATTGACTCATCAAGGTGTTGCTTACCGATGAGTTTTTAATATAATAAGATTTAATAAATAGCACCCAATTACTGTAGATAAACGTTTTCAGATTTATTCATTTCCAAGTCAATGACTACTACCATTGAATAAAGATTCAGTTTCTTTATTCAATGCTACTACTACAGTCACATTTAGTTCTTGTGTATTCGTACCTTCATCGCTTCAGGCCTTTGATCTTTAAAAATTCTGAATCCGAATTGCGTTTTTGAAAAAACTTACTGTCAGAAGAAGAATGTTTTTCGACAAAACATAATGATTCTAAGACGCGTATAGGTGACTGTAGCGTCAGAAGAAAGGTGTGGTTTCAATCTTCTTGGTAATGTTAGACTGCAATTATTCGAACAACTTTGCCTTGGAGTTTAAATACTCTTTTGCTCATAGACTGCGTCCCGGGCAAGTTTTTCGAAATTTAAGATGATGTGTATTAAATCATAGTCCAGTATAGATTATTTGAAGTACCCTGGACGAGGAACCCTTATTGTTCTTCTAACAGCAATCACATTCTTATCAAATTTCAAACAGTTCTGATGTAACGATTTTTAGCTTAGTCATTTCCCCGTTGATCACTAACTAACTGCCCAATCCGCAAGCGCATGCACTAACTGTTTTGGGTCAGTTGTAGAAATATTACTGAGCAAAGTGCCCGTAAATCACTTGAACCACTTCTGTAAGCAATTCATTACATTGAAGTTGCAATGAGGGTAATAAGACCATAAAACGAGAATTAAAAAGTTTCTTTTACGATTTTTTATTATTATCACTTTACGAGAACGTTTGAGGAACAAATTTTTGTTACGGATTTTGCCAACCTTTGACCTACATGATTTTGACATGCAAATGTGGAAATTATAACGGACTTTTCTTACAATCCTATGCCGAGAGAAATTTTCCTTCGGGGAGAATGATTAACATTACTCGCGCCGATAGAATGTGTACATAATTAATCCCAATAATAAATTAAACCAATTCCCAATTTATCGATTGATGTTTAAATGTTTGAGTCCCTAATGTAAAATGCTTGTTTTTTTTAAAATAATTAATTTAGAGAAGTGCTTTGAAAATAGGAAAGTTTTTAATTCATGTACTACTTAATTGCGTACATATAAATGAAGTTTTAGTTTCTATTGAATTGTGCACATTTTTTTAACAAAATTCAAATGGATTGATGCGTTATAAAATCGCAATTTGGTTTAGTACTCTTACGTCGGATTGACTATGGAAACGATAACAACTGTAGTGCCGCTACCCAAATATTGCACTTTCAAAATGTTTCACCTATACAAATTTATATGCGAAATGAAAGTGGAGAAAAATGAAATATGCACGTTTACTAGGAAGTATTGAATTTTAAGTACGTATTAGTATTTAATTGCTTTTATAGTTAACTTCCCAGTAGTCTTCAGTTATATTTCAACAGCCTTTAAATTCAATATCTTTTAAGCAGGGAGTAGGTACTTTTAAAATCTAAATGGATGTCCTATTTGTTTAATTCTTAGATATATATAATACGGTCCTCATAATACAGCTTATAATTTCGTTCGTCCGTCTAAGGGTTTGAGATCTCAAACTCGGACCTTATAGCAGGTTGCGTTTTTTTAATTTATCACGTAGGGTGAGCGAAAATGAAAAAGAATGTCGAATACGTTTCCATTTCTGTGCAAGCGCACATGTTCACTTTCTTATTTATGGAGTAATTTGTATGAAATTTTAATATTACGTCCTTATTAAAATCCAACGTTTAAAAAATACGCTAGATCCAATCGCCAGTGGGACTGCTTTAGAACTTGCTTCTAGCTTCTAGATTTGTGTAAATATTTTGGCGGGTCATCAACTAATACCCACGAAAGTCAAAATTTCGAAATTCATCTACTTGCTCCAGAGAAAATACTTTAAAATACAGTTAAGTATTCTTAAATCAAATGGAATAATGCACCACCAATCCAACGAAGACTTGAGTTCTTTAATATTACAAGGTAAAGCGTTAAAAATTTGGCAGGCACGAAATAACAAATTTTTTTGAAACGCTGTCCTTTGTTGACCAGGCTTTTTTATGGAAATAACGTCCTATGACGGGTATTGTACCTACCTATCTTGAGTTTTTATAAAACATGCTCTCTTTTTATACGCATAGCAAAAATGGAAAATGGGGCAGAACACCATCGATTTAAAGATTTTGGGGCGCAATGCATCCTCTTCTTATAGGGTGTCTCGGTTGAAGTTCTTCTAACAGTATTATTTAATTTAGATGCTCTCTTCAAAACTAAAATTGACATGTTCGAGCGTTTTTGGCAAATCTGTCGTTAAGCGACGAAAATTGACATTGACTGTTTTCAGTAGACCACTCTGCATGTTAAAACGGCCACACAAATACATATGTTTTTTATGGAAACAATACAATTTATTAGTAGGTACCTAAGAGGACCTAATGATGGGACCTTTGTATTGCGATAATCGCCTGTATTATAGTTAGGCAATGTGTTGAAGATGAGCCTTTATGCTATGTCAGATCCTAATTTCAAAATAAAAATTATTAGCAAATATGGTTCCTAGTGATTCAATTAACTCTACAATAATTTTGTTATTTCTTATAGACTGTAATGGAAAGATTTCCAGCGAATTCTATTCAAGAACCGACAGCTTTTACGAGTCACGATCCCATGGAGATATACAACAATATACTTGTATTTATCGTAACAAATTCGAATCCCTCGTACCCTCCCGAAATGCACATATTTCAGGTACCTATATTTAATCTTTATGTTAACCACTTGGCGTAAGCCTTCACTTTTAGTGCCAAAGCATATCCGCTCAAGATTTGGTAGAAGATTTGAAACAGTTAAGAATGGGAAAAACCTTAACAAGAAGTCGAAAAAGTAGCATTCCTCCACCCTCTAATAAACCACCGCCCCAACATATTATAAATCCGTCACGAGAAGCGTACCGTGAGTCTGATTCAGAATTAACGTTAAATAATGATGACACGAGTTCGACAACAAGTGAAAAATATGAAAGAGATGTAACCATATTAAATCATTGCTTTGACGATATAGAAAAATTTATAGCGAGACTGCAACATGCTGCTGCCGCTTCCAAGGAATTGGAGCGACGAAGGCGTAGTCGAAAAAGTAAGAAAAGAGATATGGGGGATGGAATGTTATCGATGAGAACAAAACCTCCACCGGAAAAAGAATTTTTTGATATTTTTCAAAAGTTTAAGTTGTCTTTTAATTTATTGGCCAAGCTTAAAGCTCATATCCATGATCCGAACGCTCCGGAATTGGTCCATTTCTTATTCACGCCGCTCGCCCTAATTGTTGAAGCATCCCACGATACCCATTTTGATTTACATTTACCGCAAAAAGTCGTATCGCCGTTACTAACAAGAGAAGCGATTAATCTACTCATGAATTGTGTAACAAGCAAGGAAACAGAATTATGGCATTCTCTTGGTGACGCATGGTTGTTACCTAGGTAATTTTTTTAATTATTATTTGAAGTTGTGGGTGAATTGTAAACTAAAAAAGGATGCGCCCACCTACGAAATATGATTGTGTTTCGTTTACGTAAATATTTCGACACGCACGTGGTAAGTATCCTACGTGTGTGTGTGTGTGTGCATCCTTCATTGTGGGCATCACCTATTTGGTCGACGCTGAATTAAATTTTCTTTAGGGATCAATGGAAAGGAAATGTTTTACCTTACCACCCAGAATTTATGGACGGCTGGGCGCCCGATTACCCTGTTATAGACGAAATGGATTCTCATGTTCAGAACAAACAGTATCGAGATTCCCATGAACATTACAGCAGTGACTATAATGACTACGATTCAAATCAAGAGAATATGTTCATCTATGACAGTCGAAGTAATGAACCTCCCCATCATGACTCAAGAGAGCCAAAAATTGAACCTAGCTCTGAATTACCCCCAAATCTTAGAGATACCAGCACACGAAGCGATATTTCAGTAGACTCCATCGAGAGAAATGGCACAGAGGAAAGAGGATTCACACGCAGTCAAGACAATTGGTTGGATAATTTACAAGCTCGAGGTGCTGCTATTGTTCAAGTAACTTATCCACGAACTGCAAATAATGATAAGGAATTAACCGTCGCTCGCGGAGAATTTTTGGAGGTTTGTACGTTATGAATCGAACTCCCTTTGTTCTAAATTCTAGCAGGTTTTAGATGACAGTCGTAAATGGTGGAAAGCACGTAACAGCAGGGGACAAATTGCCCACGTACCTCATACGATAGTTACACCCTATCAATTAGGCGGAAACGGGACAGACAGAAATGAAGATATTTTTAATAATCCATTATACACTCATTACAATCGAAATTCACAGCGACAGGTGAGTTTTTATTAATTTTTCCCAAAGTACTTCCTTTGTGGTAGCTTTACTGCAACTGTTAAGTCCTTGTTCTTGGAAAATTTTACTTAAATTATATTGCATCTTATAATTAGATATGCGTTAATTTAGTAAGTGCCGGTTTTTCTTGCCCCAGTTAAACTTATCTGACTTCCACCAAATAAGATAGGGACTGGTGAGTGGTGATGTTCCAAGTGTATGTCAAATTTGCTCGCTTTGACATAAACGAAGGATACTATTTCTAGAGAAAAAATTGTGATATATGTATACAGTGTGTCCCAGATCGCGTGGGATTGCATGGGTAACTTCAATTCTAAATTAAGCGTATCAAAGACAGCAACTCTACTTTTTTTATATCTCTTATACTTTCGGTGATATAAGACATTCAAGGAAATGAGCAATTTTAGCTTTTTTGAATTTATTGAACCTATTCGACATTTTGAATTTCCACAAGGAAATTTTAAATAAGCATCGAAAACTGCACCATTTAACCAATTCTCTATCTTTAATAATAAGAAAGTTACCCATGCAATTCCACATTTCCACGCGATCTGGAACACACTGTATATAATTATTATAATCTTGTAGATCTCCGATCTACCATTTTGGTTAAATTCGTGCAGTTGCTAAATTATTTAAAATTTATTTGCATATTTACAATCTACCCAGTAATGCAAGTGAGTAATGACTAATGAGTAAATGTTATCTTGAATATATACATGTCATGATTTGGAATTAGGCCTTTACCGTCTCGCCAGGGTTATACACTAACAGAAGGCAGTTAGGGGAGTAAATCTAGTGGTCAGATGCGTTGGAGTCTTCTGCAGCTGTTGGTTGGCGTGCGAGATGCCCTACAAGGAAATTTTCATGTTCTGGTAATTTCAGGTTGTATGTTCGTGCGAATCTTGGTATTTCAGTTGTTACATCAGGGATTTTCAGGTCGATGTGGATAGAATCGTTGCTTACATACCATGATGCGTCAGAAATTATTCGGAGTAATTCTTTGTTTGATTTTTACATGGGATGCTTTTCCATGGCCCCAGAGCCGGATATCATATGTCCAGATGGGTTTTATGATGGTTTTATAGAGCAGCACTTTGTTAGATAATGAAAGCTGCGAACGCCTTCTGTTAGTGAAGGTCATTTGTGCTGACTTATCGCTCTTTACTGTGATTCTCCATTTGTTGGTCCAGTCCTGTAGGAGGTTGACGTGGTTCTGTAAATGAGTTGTCGCTGCTGCAGGTGATTCACTGGTTGAGAGGATGGGCACGACGGCAATGGTAGTATTTTGCCCGGTTGGTGAATCAGATCAAGTAGAGTAAAGGGCCTAACACACTTACTTGCGGCATCCCTGTTTTAATTTGATGGTATTCCGAGACCTAATTATTTATTACAACTTGGAAGAATCTTTCGGTGAGTGCTTTTAGGATGTGAGCTGGAAATTGTAGTGTGATCTTGAACAGGAATGCATCATGCCAAACCAAGGCTTGCTTAATATCTAAGAAAGAAGCTGCAGTTAATTTGTTTGTAGTAGTAGATATGCGGTGAAGAAGCGTGCACGTACTCGAATCGACTCTGTGTATTTTGTGACAAAACTAGCGAAAAGATACTGGTTTTTTTTGTTTTTTTTTTTTAAATTGATTTTGACGTGAAATTGTGCAGATAGAAACTCTACATCTAAAGTGTAAAAACAGTGCTGTTGTACTGTATGGAGAAACGTAAAATGCTAAACCTTATTGGTTTAAATTGACTGCAATTGAACTGATATAGGTATGTAAGTTGTATTCGTATTTTCGACTTTGTGGAACTTCAATTCAATTCCCACTACGATTAGAATACAATAAAGATAAGGTTCATAGTATCGTTTATCAACTCCATTGGGTAATAAATCTACAGTACGGTAAACATGGACCCTGCTAAAGTAATACAGGAGTTGCAACTAGAAATTTTAGCGCTAAAAAAGCGAAATTACTTGTTAAAAAAAGAAATTGAGGAAAACCTCAATGAAAGTATTACGATGGAAAATTCTTTAAATGATGAAAACTCCAAATTAACTTCACTTGTTTATAACTTGAAAATTGATATCAAAAATATTACTAGAGAAAATTTAGATTTAAAGGATAAATTAGAGGAACAAAATGTTAATTCAATAAGACCCAGAATAAATCTTACAACCAGCTCTACGCAAACAAGTAGCGTAAGATAGATTTAATTGAGTTATTTGCTAGTAACTATTCATTGGATATTTTACTACTTACGGAACATTGGTTGTTAAATAACGACATTGAATATATTAAAATATCAGACTTTAAGTTAATTTCGTATTTTGCACGAACTGTTAAAAAACATGGTGGTGTAGCAATTTTTGCTAAGGAAAAACAATGTTTGAAAAATGTGTGTGTAAAAAAATGGGCAACGGAGTGCGTTTTTGAAGTGTGCAGTGCTAGCTTAATCTTAGAAGGTGTTGAAACTCGCATTTTTTGTGCATATAGACCACCTTCGGCGGATATCTCTACATTTATTACCATATTTGACGACATGATAAAGAAATATAAAAAAAATATTCTAATAATGGGAGACTTAAATATCGACTATTTGCAGAACTCACCTAGTAAACTAGCCCTTGAGGATATATTTGACTGTTTTCATCTTAAAACGTTAATACACGAACCCACCAGATCTTTTACCAATATCAATGGACATTCATCAAACACATGTTTAGATTATGTTATAGTTGACCAAAGTCTTGAACAACGGCTGCGCAGATGTGATAACCATGAATGCAATATTGCAGATCATACGGCGCAAATTTTAGAAATCAAAACTACAAATTATAAACAAACGAACTTAACTAACAGAAGAACTTATAGGGCTATTACTCAAACCTCACTTGCCAGTTTAAGATCTGACTTAAAATTTCTACCAAGTATAAATCCTACGAATATTGATACATCTGTTCATCAATTTACTGTAGCTTTAAGATACTACATAGAGATATGGTTTCCGAGGAAAATACTTAGACCCAGGTCAAATAAAGGTTGGGTTACAAGTGAAATTAGAAATGAATCAGAAGCGCTTCGTAAACAATTTTCATTAATAAAAAGTGTGACGTCGCTTGAGCTGAGAAGAGAGTATAATTTAAAAAAAAAAGAATTTCGCCGTAAAGTAAAACAAACTAAACAAACACACTTTGAAAACCGGATAATGCGGGCCAAAAACGTGAACAAAGAGACTTGGAGTATTGTTAACTCCGTAACTAGTCACGACGCTTCTAAGAATAAGAATAAAATTATTACACTTAATATAGAAAACAGTCTTATTACGGATGATCTGCAAATAGCTAACTGCTTTGGTGACCACTTTGCTACTGCTCCCGTTAAAGCAGTAAGACGTCGCTTTAATTGTACAACTTCATCCTGCTGTACTGTCGGTGCTCAACGCGTTTCCTCATCTTTTATCTTGTTCCCCATTGTCAAAGAGGACGTCATGGCAGAAATAAGGAATTTAAAAAATTGCTCACCAGGTCCTGATGGCATTCCTGTAAATGTTGTTAAATTGCTTTCTACTGAAGTTACAGATGAGTTAGTTAAAATATTTAATTGGTCCATAAAGACCGGCCTTTTTCCCTCAGACTTCAAATGTGCGAATATTGTCCCAATACCAAAAGGTAAAGATCCCTCAGATAAGAACAATTATAGGCCAATATCTATCCTTAATGCTACGTCTAAAGTATTTGAGAGAATCGTGTATCGGAATTTAATGCAATACTTGGAAAAATACAATATGTTAACTTCATGCCAACATGGTTATCGAGCAGGGAGAAGTGTGGAAACGGCGTGTTATGAATTTACACAAGAAATCTTTAAACAAAATGATGATGGAAACTATGTTGTAGGAATACTTTTTGACTTCAGTAAGGCCTTTGACACAGTTAATCACACGTTCCTTCTTCAAAAGCTTGAAAACTTTGGGATACGAGGCGTCGCGCTGAAGTGGTTTGAGTCGTACATTAGGGACCAAAAAATTGCTGTAACTTACAATAGTGCTACATCCAGATACTTTAACTTGGAAATGGGTGTACCATAGGGTTGTGTGTTTGGACCACTGCTTTTCTTGCTCTACGTGAATGACCTTCCAAAATACATTAAGAATGGACATGTTATAATGTACTGTGATGATATTTCTATTGTTCTGGCTTCTAAATGTGATGAAGATCTTAGGTCCAAACTTGAGTCAGTTTTTGAAGATATGATGTGGTGGTGTAATAAAAACAATCTAATCTTGAATGTGGACAAAACTGAAGTTATTAGTCTTTCTAAAAAGAAGGTATTTGATGACGCATCTCTAAGCATAAGCAATATAAAAATAGTACTTAGCCAAACGGTAAGGTTCTTAGGGACTGAGATTGATAATGAGTTAAAATGGGCTGCACACACTGATATGGTTCGAAAGAAATTAGCTAAATCATACTTTGCACTATATCAATTAAAAAATCTTTTGTCTGTTAAAGGGCTACTAAACACGTATTATGGTTTAGTGTACTCAAATTTAACATACAATATTGCCATATGGGGCAGAACTCAAAACTTAAAACAATTATTAATAAGACAAAAAAGAATAATTCGCTTAATATTCAACCTTTCATTTAGAGCTACGTGTAAGCCTATTTTCATTAAGCATAAAATTTTAACTGTTCCTTGTATTTTCATATATAAAATTTTATGTCTAGTCAAAAAATATATCTTAAACAACACTGTTAATCCAAAAGAGATTAACGGGTATAATACAAGGAGAAACCAGTTACCTGTACCTCGTCATAAAAAAAGTAGTTATATGAAAGCACGACACTCTATTGTGGAATAAAGTTTTATAACAAACTGGACAATGCAACTAAACAGCTACCACTGAAACAATTTAAAACTACAGTCAAAAAACTTCTTACATCAAAAGCATTTTACACTACACAAGAATATTTAATTGATCAATAAACAAAAAAATTCTATTTCGAATAGCTTGTTATTAATTTTTATATATTTTATGTAGTAGTATGTTTGTAATTTTAAAACTATATATGTTCCAATGTTTTTATGTGATTTTATCTTTATCTTTTATCTATTTATTTAATGTATATGTGCCCTAAGCTTACGATGCAGTTTTTAGCAGTTTTATTGTAACGTGATGTCTGACTTGTCCTACATTCAAAAATGGATATATTGGATCAATAAAGATTATGATTATGATTATGATTATGTTTGTTTCAGAACTTTCTATTATTTGATTAACGATCCGGTGGCATTCGTGTATCGTTGTGTGGGCCACAAAAACCGAGTCGAAAGGTCCGGATTATCTGATCAAGATGAACAGTTTTTGGGTCTGGGGTGTTATCAGTGGAGAGGTCCTAATTAGATTCTGTGTTGGCTATTTCATTGAAAACTGCATAGTCTAATAAGTCCGGGAGTTTTTGGGGGTCACTAGACCAGTACGTCTGTTTTCGGGTTGATAAAAAGTTGAAATTGATTCTCTGGATTGTTCTTAGTAGGTTGCGTCCTTTCGGGTTGATAAGTCCAGAGCCCCAAGCTGTATTTTTTGCGTTCCAGTCTCCTCCTCCTAAAAGTTTAGGACCTAGTGATTTGATTCTTCATACTACTCAAATGAGATAGGGTGCCTCGTTGGGCTGTAGATAGCTGAGATTACCAGAATTGGGGAAGGTTTGAACGTATATTGCGGCGCTTTGAATATTTTCAGTTAGGTATAGTTGGAGTTCGTGATAGACAAGCATGTTCTTAATTATCACAGCTGATTCGCCGTGTGCCGTCCCGTCTGTGTGATTGGCATTATATGTGGTAATTGTATGTGGTATAATGCGGTATTTTTACAGTATGTCAATTTGTTGTAGTTGTAGCCATTATACGCTATTTTATTTATCACCGTGGAAAGCATGTTTAATAACATGCTGTTCTGACTTATGAGCTGGGAAAAATGTTTCTAAATTCGTTGAGAAAAGTTGTGAGCATTTGGGGAATGTTTATTACTTGTTGGGTTTTAGTTGAGGAGCTAAAGTTCCTTTTTGTCCATGCTTTATGAGTGTTGATTACGTGTTATGTTTCATCGCTGTGGTTATTAGTTTTGTTACGGCTATGGAAAATTCAGTTAGGGGTAAGTCAGGAGGAGCTCTAGACGGGATTGGTTAGTTATTCCTAAAGGTGACTTTTTAAACGGCGGCATACTTTTTTGTACAGACTGTTTTAGTTGTTTAGTCTTTATTTGTATGTATATCATAAGTAAGTTTTGACATGTCAATAAATATAGTAGATAAATAAATTAGGACAAAACATAGAAAAGAATACTAGACAATTATAAACAGTTTAAAATTTTAAATAATACAAATTAGATAAACCGTGTAGCTAAAATAGAATAATAAGTATTAAATTACAAACAGTATAAAATTTTAGTTAAATATAAGACATAGGTAGATAAAATATAAACAAGTAAAGGTAAACGACTAAAGACACGAATGTAGAATAAAGATAAAATTAAATAAATAAATATCATTAATGTTATTGAATAGTTCTCCCGGTCGTATGCAAAGATTCAGTTATATTATAAAAATAATGGCTTAATGTGTGCGCTTTAATGACTCTTTTAAATTAAAGAAAATTATAAAGTGTGATACAATCAGGAACGATGTTGTATAAGTCGGCCCTCAGACTGTTAGCTCTACTTTATAACAGGGCGTTTTAAATCTTTTTGCTACTCGTGTTGAATAGTTGTGAGTGAAGTCATTTATCTCAAATTGGTTTTTGTTTTTATGAATTTCTAGTTTTAGTAATAATTGAATAAAACTCAATTTTCTATTTTTTATTTACAAGTTAACTGTAGACATTGGCGGCTTAGGTTACGAGAATATTCCACATTTTAAACATTTAAATATAAGTAGGTATACTTTTAAACACATCTTTTATTATTTTTTCTTCACCTTAAATTTGTATTTTCAGATTTTTGAATAGACATTTTTTTCTGATTAAACTGATATGCCACATCGTATATGTAGCTTTATACTACGTTTTGCTATCTTGTTCAAATGAACTAAATTGTGATTGGCCCAAAATAATAATTTTTTTGTCGGCTTAGGAACATTCTTTATATTCAACTAATTGATTTTTAGGATTCTCCATCTGAACGCTACAGTGGCGGACGAAGTCCCATTGGAGCTGACCACGCACCTAGTTCTCCATCAATTTCTGCCGCACCGGCAGATTGGGTTCGGAAGGAAAGGCTCGGTAAGAAAGGAGAATTTCGATATTTTTAAGTTTTGGTAGTCGTTTGCTGTAATATTTGTACCTAAACATATTTTGTGCAGTTGTCTGTTCTCGCTTCTTGTACAAAACGTTTTATTTATGACATTTATTTTCTCGTGTAATTTGTATATTGTTATACTGTAAAATGTTTAATTGTTATCAAATACACATTCACAATCCGAATAATTGTTGGTTAAATTCTTACTCGAAGGAGTAATTTGTCATTGAAGTGTATTCTTTACCGTAGATCATTTTTATCTTGTTTTATACTAACTTCAAACATTTTGAATGTTTATATTTTACTAAAATAAAGGACCGCTCATTGTGTGTTTATCATGTTTGCTTTATGTGTACTTTGTGATATATCAAGAAACTTTTTGCGCTATTTAGCTCTTTTACAGCTTTTGTGGTATGGTTTTACACCAATATTTCACAAAGTTTAACCAATGTCGTGAAGATTAACGGTGTTTAAAAAATATCTTCAAATCGAGGACGTACCTATATTTCTCTTCGCGTAAGGTGTTGCGAGCTTTTTGGGAACGATCTGTGCTTCTATGTGTTTTTGACCTAACTATATGAAATGATTAATAAACTATTCTCAGAAGATATAGATACACGATCAGGTCCTGTTCCACCTCCCCCTCCTCCTCCAATGCCGACTGTGGAGACTATACAACTGAATGACATACCTAATACTGAACCAATAATTAGACCACCGTTAAAAAGATCCCCTTCGATTATGTCCACAATGACTACTACCAGTGAAAGAATGCAGGATGAGCTTAATATCGTATTGAGCATGTTTCGCGACAATAAGTCGAAGAATTATGATATTACTCAAACGCCCGAAATTTATATCGATCAAAGATCTACACCCAGCGAAGTTCAAGAGTGGTTACAAGCGAAGATGTTTTCTGCGGAAATATGCGCCAAATTTAAGAAAACCTCTGGATATCAACTGTTAGGGTTGTCCTATGACCAACTGGAGAAAATTTGTGGTCCTATCGAAGGGAAACGTTTAGAATCACAAATTAATGTACAGAAAGGAGTTTCTGGGGTAAATTTCATTGTAACCATAGTCCTTACTTAATGCTGTTTTTACAGTACCAAACAATGGGAAGATCTGAATTGCAAGCGGTACTTGCTAAAGCGAGGAAGAAGATAGAAAGCAATTCTTAAAACTGTCTACTAGGCATGGAAGTTTGTTATAATACACAGAGTGACTATAGTATAATTAACAAGTTTTCACATGTAATGGCAAAGCTTTGATAACTTGGTCCATTATGAAGCACACCACATCTACTTTTCCCGAGTAAAATCAACTTGCTTGCGTTCTGGGGTTGATTTAATTAATTCAATCATTCCCTCTGATGCTTGTTGGTTTACAACTTCATTACAACCAGTATATTTATTAGTCGTACTTTAATTAATTATATTTGTAAAGAATAAACTTTAATTTTGTGACATTTTTTATTAAAAATAAAGTGATATACCTAATCAACACGTTCTTGTGTTTAGTAAACAAAAACTTTCGTGTTTCGTTAATCTAATTCTAATGGAGGAACAAAACTAACCAAATTGGCTTGAATTTGAATTACCTATTTTTAATTATATCCGCAATTGAAGTATGTATTTGTAAAGTGTCTACAAAAGAATTTCACTTGACTGATTTAGAAAACCACGATGTGTGTACAGAGTTGAGAGTGTAACACAAGAAAGTAGTGATTCTCACTTGCTTCTTCTCTTTGTCTGATCTTGCGCAAGTCAAGAAGTGATTTTTGTTCTTGCATGGCGTTGCAAGACAAGGCAAGAGGAACCTTTGCAAGGCACAACGCTCACTACAAAACTAGAAATTGAGTGGTAGAAGGGACTACAAGCAACATTTCTTTACAGCTAGTTAGCTTCCCTAAACCTAAAGCCCCACAAGTCATGTCCACTTTTAATAACCTGCGATGTGGGTTGGCCACAATCTTTCAAAAATGTTAATTTTACAGTCGATCTAAGGCAAGTCGACTTTCTATTTAGAGGCAAAACTATAGTCTTTGCTATACTTTTTGGTAGCTTCTTCACTGTACCTATTTCTTAGTATAATCAAAATAGCGTAGTTTTTCTCATGCGCATTTGTCAATTTTCCCATCTTCCATACTTTTTATCTTCCAGCTCTGTCAAACGTTGCCTTTAAGTTCATGAAAAATGCGAACACCTTTCCGCCTTTTTTTCCAATTCCTTTTCCACCAATCTGTGTAATACATATGTATATGTATGTATGTACGCTTTATTGGTGATTTATACTTAGATACAAGTATTTTCACACGTCATTTTTTCACAGACATAATTGACCATAAATTATCTACCAATACAATATAAATTTAAAACCTATTTTCTTAGACAAAATGACAATTAGGTAAAATGGCAAAGGACAAAATAAATATACATTTAGACAACAAAATCGCAACATCTTCACAAACAGAGCTAACAATCTAAGTCATTGAAACTATTGTTCAAAAATTCGTTTAGTGAGTAGAATGCCCGACGTTTTAAATATTCCTTTACACTAGCTTTGCTAGCATATGCGCAGTCTTCAGGCTTCTTCCAGAAATATTCATTTTTCCGTCGATCTAAGAAAAATTTCCAGGAATTTTAGAGGCAAGATTATAGTCTTTGTAATAATTCATAGTAGGTTTTCGTAGTTTGTGCATTGTGCCGCTTAATATAATCAAAGTAACGGAATTTTCCTCATTTGTGCCTGCTCTTCAGGCTGTCATCTTTCAGAAATTTTTCATTTTTCAGTCTATCTAAGACAAGTCAACTTGCTATGAATTTTAGAGCTTAAAACTTTTTTACGCGAAAATCCAATATATAACATCCAAGAGTTTTTAGATAACGACCTCAAGACTTTAACGCCTTAAGTTTTTTTTTGTCGTTTGTATTTTTTTTGTTTGTTTGTTTGGTTTAATTGTTTTATTTCTAAATGATTTTTCATGTTATTTAATATTGTTCTATATGTCTCATGTATTTTATGTTTATGTGTTATACGATTTCGACGGACGAGTGTAAGCATTTTTTTAAATGTATTAACACAATAAATTACTTACTTACTTACTTACTTACAAGACTAAAGTCTCTGTTGTATTACTTTTTAGTTTTCCACAACACTATTCTTAATATAATGAAAGTAGAGTAATTTTTCTCACTTCTGATAGCTCTTGATAATATAACTAAGACGTGCTGTAGGTTCGACGCCCCCTCCAAATGACCTCCTGCATGACCACTTTATATGATTCCCATACGACAAAACTCGCGGAATTTTCTGTTCAACCTTGTATCCAAAAATCGGTGGTCAATATTATTCTTATTATATGCCTCGTGTAATTCTGACCAAAGTGTACACAGTAAATTTTGAAAAAAATTTGGGGAGGTACCTAATTGGGGAGGAACCACCTTTCTCTGTTACGGTTGCTGAGAAAAAAAGCATATTGAAGTGACTTCTTATTTCTCGATATGCAGTAGGTGTATGTTTTGGACGGGAGTAAAATCATCCAGGCGTAACGCCACAGAATACAATTTCTACTTTCTTTAGTCCTCATGCATAACGCTCGGCAGCCGAAGAGGAGCTCGGCCCACTACCCTGGCTCACAATTGTTTAAAGAACATTTGTTCATTTGAAAGGAGATATGGCATTAAAATCGTCGATGTGTCTTTGAAATTGACTATATAAGTACATACTACATTTATAAGCGATATTTAATATTTAATAGGATGACGCATAGCGCAACTGCATGGTTGGATTGTGAGAGAGAAAGCTCACTTTTGTCGGCAATTACAAGTCCCACTTTCAATTTTTTTAAATACCCTTTGAACGCGACTCAAATGCCCTTCAGTATATTTCGACACTCCACCACTCATTCTTTCATATATAATATTGTAATACCGCACCCTGTATATGAGTGTTGGCAGAGATACGCAAAAAAACCACAAAAATTTGTACAATACAAATTTTAAATACTGCCTTATCTAAAATTGAGTAAACGGAATCTTTAATGCCAATAAATAAATAATAACATTTATTCACAGGGAAACCCCAAAAAAGAACATCCTAAATATAACAATAATAATTTGCCTCGGACAATAACAAATTTAAAGTATGCATTACACATAAAAAATATTATACAATATAATTTAATTGGATATAATACTAACTAATAATAACACATTACTGTTTACTTATAAAATATTTTTAATGAACAAACATACTACATTTTCATTCCAAGAGTACAATGGTTAACGTTTCTGATAAAGATCCATACCAACTTACATGTGAGATGTAATTTTAAGTTTCGATTGAGTGAATTTAGAGAAACATAGAATAGGTAGATCAATACAGAGATCGTTAAGCATATATAAATCTCTAAATGGTAGGTTTTTGAAGTAATTAGTTTTGGAGGATTGGATTTAGAGAAAAAGTTGAGTGTGTCTAACATGTTTCTCTGGTATATGATTGAAGTAGCAAGGAATTATCATAGATAGTTTAAAGAGAAAAATTGAATCAAAAAATCTTCTTCCAGCTAGTTGTAGGCATGGCCTAATATACTCTTATTAGGCCATGGTTGTAGGTATATTGATAAGGGGAGCAATATTGTAGGGGCATCTACGAATAGTATACAGAGATTTAAAAATTAATTGATTTCGGAATTGACTTGTGCTGGGAAATATAAATCCGAGTTGCTTTCGTGCCTTTATTGTTGCACATGCGAGTGAAGTAAAATCATAAGAAATTTTGCCGATTAAGCAAAGATCCGTCGATCGAAAAACGAATGGGACCTTTTATTCTATGAAACCAGGCGTATAGCCAGAATTAACCTCGAGGTGGGGCGAAGAAATCCAAAGTTGGAGCGCGCACTTTTTTAAACATAACATTTATTAGAAACTTCAAGATAAATTTACAGTATGACAGTGTATGGTTCATCTTTTCCTAAATTAAAACAACTGCAATTTTCTGTTTTTAATTGCATTGAATTTAATTAATTCTTGATTCTGGCTATACGGGCCTGTATGAAACGTGATCGAAAAGTATTTAATTGGATTCAAAGTCATTTCGGTATAGAAGCGCAACAAGCCGAAAGTGAGTCTAAATCCTCTTGCAAGTGCAAACAGTCTTGTATAGAACGAATCGGCTTAAAGGTTTGAATATCAACAGCAAATAAAATATTGGAGAATTTAAAAACGTGCTGTATATCGTTTATGAATATTAGAAATAACAAAGGTACTAAATGAGCACCATGTGGCACGTCGAAAGTCACACATGCCGTTTTAGATTCAAAATTATTACACTTGACAATTTGCGGACTCCCACTCAAATAACCATGAAGCCAAGACAGTAATGGTTCACTAAACACCGATACGATTTAACGTTGAGTTGAGATCAGTATTTGGTGATTAACTTTTTTGAAGGTTTTAGTAAAGTCGCCATGTATTGAGTCCAGTTGAATATTTCCTCCAGGGCAGCAAGAAATAAATATGCGCTGTTGATACGGTAATAAATTGGAAGTGGTCGAAGGGTTTGTCTTTTGCCAGAAAACCATGCTGTTCATAAAAAATGTTGAAGTATGAGAATTAGCTGGCCTGTTACGAGCTCGTCAAAAAGTTTTGAGATGGTAATTACTTTAATTATTTCCTTTTACATTTGTATTTAAAGCAAGAGTACCTTTTGGTACCTTTAACATTTTGTGTGCGCTGTGCGTGCTATGCTAAATTCAGAAAATCAAACTAGTATGCAGACTTTGCCGCCCCGGCAAATTTCGCGCTCACGGGCTATTCAAGACATGCCTTGTAACTGCAGAATAATAAATCTCGTTTTGGGGAAAGACTGCGGCTAATCATTTTTATTCAGGCTGAACATAGTGTTAAAAAATTTCCTGTAGCTAGCACAGATACCATCCGCACTGCACAACGACGCATGTGCGTTTTGCCCAAAAGCTTTTGAGCTCTTCATTTTATGTGTACGTACCAAATTTGGTTCCAATCTGTCCAGCCGCTTAGCCAGAAATGAGAATGCAGGCAGACAGATTTTGTTTGATTCGGATTCCTGGTGCTTGAAAACGTGTATTTCCGGAAAAAGGTGGGGGTCATTTTTTACCCCAACCTCCCCTACAAACGTGCGAGGGGTAAACATAAAATGTAAATGAAAAAGATATATCAGCTAGCATTATCTGCAGCTGCTCAAAATTGTAATAAAAAAAAGATTTCCAAATTTCGCCCTAAACCTTCACTTGATACGGTAAAGCTCATGATTATGAAATTAATTTTTACAAGATCTCGTTGGTGTCCTGTTTTCTTTTCTTTATCCCAAGGACGTCTATACGTATCAGTCGATTCAATGGCAATTAGTCATTGTATTATTAATCGACAATCGTATATCAAACACTGAGAACAAGATCGTCCTAGAACGACAAGAACGCATCAGT